GGCATTCCTAGCACGTTATTACTTCTCTTCTGCAGAGGAGGAAACAGCCTGGGAGCTTAAGCCGTCTGCCCAAGATCACATGGCCATCATGGGAGGGCCAAGGGTCACGCACAGCCAGGCGGTCGGCTCCAGGGCCCCTGCTCTTCGTCCCTGCCTGTCAATGAGGGCGAAGCCACCTTTGATCGCCCTGGCCTCTTTTGAAACGTTCCACCTCTTCAGACCCTCTCCTGAGCGTAACGTTAGCAAGAACAGGAGGCTAATAATTAACTCCAAGTGTGTGACTGATTAAAACCTGAGTTCTCTCTAATTGGAGGAAAAAGAAAACTTGGAACAGATCCAAAAAGGAACTTTTTAAAATGAGGGTCAGCACTGCACTATGACAACAGAGGAGAAGTTGCAGGAAGGAAAAAAATGTCCTCCAATCTTTCAGGTAAGAGGTTTGCAAAGAGCAAAGCAACACAGAAACTGGCACTTTGTTTTTATAGCACGATTTCCACATAAACTGTCCCTTAACTGGCACTGCACAGGAACCGAGGGGCACAGGGAAACTAAGGTCTGACTTCCAGAAGGGGAAGAATCACACTGACACGGTCTGGATTTTCCGTCCCAGGAAGCGTGGACAGACTGCAGTTAGGTCTCAGCAGCTGCAGCGTCCCCACCAGGGGACCAGCCATTGTGAATGAAGGAACCGCCAGGCTGCCAGCTCCTGCCGAGACAGGGCTCTAAGTCTTCCCGTCTGTCTGCAACGGTCATTCACACTTCTCAGGATGGAGAAATAAGATATCACTTCTTTCAAAAAGGGCATACTAAGGCAGCAAGATAGAACCCAAGTTCCAGTTAATGAACAGGTCAGATTCTAGAAAGAACTCAGAGGGCAGCAGGGGACCTATGATCTCAAATGCTGAATCCTTCGGAGTACTTGCAAATGTATGTGGAAGTCGTGCAAACGTCCTGTCTCCCATTGCTTTTCTTCCTACAGTGACATATAGATAGGTAGACACTGTAAGAGACGGCGATGGAATCTCAGGAACCCTATTTTACACAGTGACGACCTACCTGATAACTGCTAAATTCTTTTAAAAATTTTTTTCCTTTTTCAGGAGGGCAGTATACTCAAGGAGTATTAATGAATTAAGTTGCAAAACCATGGCAGTATATTCTTTGAAACAAATATTGCTTTAAAAAGGAAAAATGGTTCATGGTCACTTGTGGTTGGTAACGGTGTTCTGAATAAAGATTCAGAATATTTAAATATAAATATAGAGAACGATACATTTAAATGCAGCTAGCTGTGCAGTAGGCTTCTGGACAGATTGATTTGTCATCTACTTCATTCCCGATTGTTCCAAGGGCTTTTCAGCATTTCTCTGGATAACAGGGCGAAGCCCTTGTTTTATGTATGCTCGGTCTCTCTGCCATCCACTAATTGGAAGGTTCCCTTTCAAGACTGAGTCTCCCCAGAAATCTAGGACAGAAGGGTTTCTAATCGAGGGGGAGACTGCCCTTCTCCGGGAGGTCCCAGAGTGCAGCCCCATGGCTGGCCCCCGAGTCTCTACCAGTATGTCTGTGCTGTATATATAGTAACATGGCTTCAGGCAGAAAAAAAAGAAAAGGTGCTTGACAAAGTTTTCTATTTCTGTAACGCTGTGTCAGGAAGGAGGCTTAACAGAACGTCTTCCCTGCCGCTAACAGTATTTGTTTGGATTTCAGATGTTAGTTTTATTTAACTCAGCTACATTTAACGCCTGTGAGGATAAACATTCTTGATCCCTCTATTCAGAGACCAGTGAACCAAATTCATTGAATTAAATTCCTTGAACTGAATTCATGGAACTAAAGCACAGCCTGTAACTGACCAATAAGTAACCTTGGGTGCCTCCCCACACTGCAGGCCGGCGTCTCCAAACCTCGCAAGGGACGCTGGGCTCCAGCCCCCACGCGCAGAGGCATCTCACATCTGCGCAGTGGGGCAGGGCCACGCCCGGGGCCACAGCACCTGCAAGGGCCACACAGCCGCAGAGCCGTAGGTGAGCTCCCTCCCGGGCGCCCTTTCTGCTGGTCAGGGATGGAAGCCCCAGCCCCGCCGCTCCCTTCCTACCCGCCCTCGGCCGCCGCTGGAATTCCCTTCACCTCCTTTTCCACACTCCCTTGTCCCCTAAGTTAGCTCGTAAACTCGTGACTCCCAAGGAAAGTATTAGCAGAAGCCACAATTCGGGAATGACTCACCAACGAGCTTCCGGTCCCTTCCACACCCTGCAGCCGCCCCTTCGCTGTGGCCCGCGGGCTCCGGGCAGCGACACCAGATAGAGGGGGAAGTTCTCAGAACCTCAAGGCAGGACCGTGAATGAAGAGTCCGCCTCGCTCCCTGCGGGGTCTCCAGCTCCAAGGCAGAGGTAGGAAACGACCCACTTAAAGGTTCCACTACGAACTGGCAAACGTTTCTATGAGGCAGGAGGAAAACAAACACAATTCCCCAGGGGCCCTCGGAGGGGCCCTAGCGACACTTCCACATCCGCAGCGCGCGCAGCGCCCCAGGCCGCTTTCAAAGCGGTGTCGCCGCAGGCCCTGCACTGCCCGCTGCCCTGCAGTGCCCGCTACCCTGCACTGCCCGCTGCCCTGCACTGCCCGCTGCCCTGCACTGCCCGCTGCCCTGCACA